GCTAAGGATTTCGATCGCCTGGTTTACGATTTCTTGAGTCAGAATGGCTTTTGCGCGACGATCGGGTGATATATTATTCAAGTAATTCTCCACCAATTCATCAAATCTGGCGTTTGTTCCGGAGGACCTCGAAACCTCAAATCTGGCGCGAGAGACGAAGTTAAAATGATTATTAGACATGTTTATTTCCTGACGATTCTATGTGAAAGACACCGAATTGCAATGTTGATATTCCTCAATTTATAAATCTATGTCATTGTTTGACATGGCATTGGTTTATTATGTCTCCATTCTATTTCTTTCGCTCAACTTGTCCTACGATCCTTTTTTGTTAAAGGCCATAATTGCTTGATCATACGATTCATTATATTCTACTAGTCTGTTTAGATCACCTGATTTGCCTTCCCAGCTGTAGTTAGGATCTTCAGTTTGTAGCTATTTTAGAGATCGTATATTTTAAGCTTTTAACAAAAAAGGATTGTAAGTCAGGCAACCACAAAGAAATAAAACAATAATTGGTTTTGAAAATTGTATGCTAGTCAAAACAATTAAGATCTTCAACAAAAAAGGAATCCAGCAATCATGAAGAACAGATCAATTGAATAATTGAATGTCGAAATCGTATGATGGTCAAAACAATTAGGCTTTAACAAAAAAGGATTGTAAGGTAATTCAGACAATCACAAAGAATAGAACGATTGAATAATTGAATGTCGAAATCGTATGATGGTCAAAACAATTAGGCTTTAACAAAAAAGGATGTAAGGTAATTCAGCAATCACAAAGAACAGAACGATTGAATAATTGAGCATCGAAATCATATGATGGTCAATGAATACTCAAGTTTGCAGCACCACAAGACACTCACCTTATCATTTAGTTTTCCAATAATGTCCTTGATGTAATTTAACGAACTTTGGAATATGAATATTACCGATGAGGATGATTTCCTGAAAATATTGAAATCAAAGATAGTGAAATTGAGGAAAATAACAGTAATGATGAGCAATATGCAAATGTTGAAATCCACAGAAATGATGATGAAGACATTAACAGTAATTATGAACAAAATACAGATATTGAAGATGATGATATCCCCCCTCTTCCACCCCTGATTTCTTTGCCTTCATTTTCTCCTCTCACATCTCCGCAACCTACTGCTTCTCATAATCAACCATCTACTGCTGACTCACAAGCTATTAGTAATATGGACGAGTGTGATTCATCTGATGATAATGAATATATTATAGATCAATACAGCACAGGTTATTTTATTCAAGATGTGATGATGTACAGACCATGGAAAATCTTTTCACCTGCCCAAGCATTGTGGTACATATGTTTGTCAATTACATACATGGTTACTTGCTTGACTAAGTAGAAGGGAATTTACTGAAGATGACAGAGAGTTTATAATGAGTATGAGGTGTTTGGAGAATTTGAGAAATTGGAATAATGTTGGAGAAACTGACTATAGAATCAGAGATGAGAATGAAGAGTATCAAGCCATATTTGAAGAGTGGCCTGAGAAAATTAGACAATATGATGGGGTCAGAACAGATATGAGAGCTTCCTGATGGGATTACAAGTATATTGTAATTGTTCATGCATGTGATCATTTAGTTGATATTCATGGGCTAGTCCTATGAAAAGTAAAGAAGCCATAAATGTAGCAGCATTTCTATATCATATTTTCACACAATTTGGTTCTCTGACAATTCTACAAACTGATAATGGAAAAGAGTTTACAGTAAAAGTTATATAAAAATGTGGCCAGGAATGATAATTATTTATGTCATCCTCAATCTTAGAGGTTGGTAGAGAAAGGAAATGATATTTTACAAACAAAACTTTCTTCCTGGCTTGAGGATAATGAAACAAATGATTGGAGTTTAGGATTACCAATGGTTATTTGTAAGTAGTCATCTGTTTGCATTATAGCTTGACAATAATTTTGTGTGCATACTTTATAACACATCAGGAACTAAACAAAAACTTCTATACACAGATCTGCACTGCAGATTTTATTAAAAAGAATGGAAATGATGTGGCACAGAATAGACAACTCACTAGACATACAAGTACCCTTACAAGTTGATCCATTTGCGATA